GGTGGAGTAGTGCCCGAGGTCGCTCTGTGCGGCTAATAGTGGAGCTCGTGATACGAGTGCGAGAGCGCGCGATCAATGTCCCTCGTGACGTATGGACCATTAAAATTGATGAAGAGTACAGCCACTGAAAAAAGAACACCAGGGATGTTACCAGGAAATGTCCATTTACAGTACTATTGATACACATAAGCCAATATTGATACTGTGAGCATTATTCCTATTTTATTCATTTGGTCCATTGGGGGATGAAGTGGTCTCAGTTTGACAGGGAGAAAAACAGTTGTGTCATTGTGCAAAAGAAAAGTGTTCTGGTTTTTGTGAGAGATATTAGTGTCAGTATATCATGAGCATACCTTAGGCCTGCAAAAAAGATGGCTTAGTTTATATATGAAATATGCAGTACAAGCTTATATTTTAATTAAAATACATAACGTAATAAACAAAACAAAAGATAATTAATAATTCAGGAGTAATTCAAGTTCCTTTCACTGCAATTTTTTTTTTCCATCTTTGGCTCATTTCCTAATATGAGTGAGAAAAACATGAACTGTGCCGTTTAAGCTAAAGAAGTTTATAGCTTATATATATATATATATATATAATTAGATTATATATATAATCTAATTCCCACCTATTGCAGCCTGAAGCTTCACAACTTTAAAGGTAATCAGTTTTAAAAGCATAACTTTAAAGCAATTCTTTTAAACATGAAAAACAATATTAAACCCTAGCTCTCAGGCTCATTTCATAAGTATTAAAAAAAAGAAAAGCATGCAAGTAAAAGCCAAATGAAAGACTTAAAATATGCGAGATAAAATATACGGCTAACATATAAACATGAGCGGAATCAAGTGATACATCTGTGGGAGACAGTACTGCATAAATATGATTGAATAAACTGAATGTAAACAGGAATAAAGTAACTGTATATGCAATGGAGAAGTAATATATATACAGAGATGTCTTAACAGTATGACAGTATTACGTTTTGAAGGACAAAGTGACAGAGTTTAGGCAAAATACATTCAAAAGAAGCTCTGAAAACATCAGAAAAACGTACTGGATAGTTAGGTGTTACTTACCCCCTCCCCCAATTACTAAAAGGGCCAAGGTGACAGGAGACAGTTCACACGTGTCCCCTTCTTTGCGGAAGAAAGTCTCCATGCAGTATCCCGGAGACAAGCTGCCCTCTGGACAAAAAGCATCGCTGGGACACTTAATGGGGTTCACATCTGGACTCTGAGGAAAAAAACATGTCAACAAACATATGCAAGATATTTGTTTCCTCTGATTTGTGTGGAGGTGCAGTACTCACAGGGCAGTAGTGATTCTCTGGACATAAATCACAGTTCTCCCTGCCCCAGTTGACCTGGTAGAATCCACTGCCACAGATTTGACACATCGTCTGATGGGGAAGCTTGTGCATGCCTGTTTAAAACCAGATATCACCTGGATGGATATCCCCTTTTTTATCATGAGCTAGCACACTGATACACATTACTCTTTAGGCCTTGTAGCATTAAGTTAGCATTGTGGGAGAAACTTCTGTGTAGCAATGCAGGAGGAGTCACCGACTCAGGAAGGAGACATGGGGAGAGCTGGAGCTCTGATGTCAAACACTGATGGGTTTATTTAGGAGCTTCGGCCGGAGCATTCACAAAACAAGTCCAAGAGCCAGAGGTTCTGCCACGTCAATTCTGAAGAACTCTACCCCATACCCGTGTATTTAGCTAGATTCAGAGAGAATAATCAACATTGTGCATAACAAGATAGAATCATAACACCTCTATCAGCTGACGCCAACAGGCAGAAACAGGGAGACAAAACACTGAGAGCACAGCAGCCAAGGTTACAGGTGCGTGTGCTCAGTCAGGACAGTATGAACTGATAAACTGGGTCAAAGTTATGGGCTTTGGAAAATATTTCCCCAACAAGCATGATATCAATTACCTGGCCGACACAGCGTGCAGCCCCTTGCGGCAGACTGCAAAGCTTCTGTTCCTCCAGGACACATCTGACACTGGCTACAACCAGAGGAACTGAGAGAGAGAGACACGTTTGTGACTGTAAATGGATAAACTATTATATATTTCATATATGTCACAAGTTACTTTGAAAAATGTGAAAGCTGATTATTTTAAAGCTGTTTAGCAGCTTGGTCTAAAAGTGTTAACAGACATACAGTATAAGCCTGATAGGACTGATGTTTCAAAGGTTAAAAGAAACGCAACCTTTACATTTGTATATCAGTGACTTACTCAAGCATGTGTTGACTTGAATTTGTGCGGAACATTTGGTTTTACTTGCATGCCCCCAAGGTAAATGAAGACTCCAAAACACACAGTGAAAGTCTTGATGAAACTTAAAGAATATAGCAAAAAGAATGCTGTTTAACAACAGCAAAACTACATCAAATCATCCGTTTCCAAACTAGTTCAGTATGAGTCTCACCTGCGAGTACTGTTTATGCACAAGTCTATTAAATAATAAAGTTTAAGCAAATATGAATTTGTTTCAGAAGTAATGAGCATATAATTGGATGAATAAGATATCGACTATAATGGATGAGATGTGTGAGAGTTTATCAACTGATTTATTGTTATAGTTTTTCTGTTGTAAAACGCTGGCCCAATGTATTTGAATCATTAGGGTTTTTGGATTTTCTTTTGGATCTTTCACTATAGATGCATGTAAGAAAAACACAGTTTTCAACATGAATTCAGGGTAACACACGCTGTCGCTGAGACATTGATAAAAGTCATATTGCCTCAAACTACAGTGTGTGTGTGTGTGTGTGTGTGTGTGTGTGTGTGTGTGTGTGTGTGTGTGTGTGTGTGTGTGTGTGTGTGTGTGTGTGTGTGTGTGTGTGTGCTGCCAAACAGAACCATGGGATCATAAAATCATGTGATGTTGTTAGAGAGAGTTGTTAGAAGAGTTTCACAAAGACTTCTGGGCCCTAGAAACAAACCATAATAGAAACAGAAACCCGGCGGTGACATTTAAGTACAACTTACTTGCAGAAACTTCCCTGTGCACATGGTGAACATGAAGTGGAGCTGTGCTGCGAGGAAAAGAAACCTGAAAGTAGTAGGCAGAAAATAACTCAGCACATGTGATTTGTGTTTTCTCTCAAATCTTTGAAGATGTCAAACTATGTTGAGATACAGATACTCTAATCAGTTGCAAGCTAATGTTCATTTATAATTTACTTGACATTGAACATAAACAAATCTCATTTTTGACCACAAGCATACTGTTGGTTTCGTCTGAAAGCATATCAATAGTTAATGATTTACAATTGATGATTTTTTTGTTGTTGTATTCAGCTAAATAAACACACCTGCTGGACAACTTGTGCAACTGTCTCCACCAGTGATATTGTTGAAGGATCCAGTAGGGCAGGGATTACACAAGGGACTTCCAGTAAAACTGTGCAGTAGTGCAACAAACACAAGACATTGAACAGTGAACTAGATGGTAAAGCCAATCAAATCCATTAGAAGTCAAAGTAAATGTAGAATTTGTGTCATACTTTGTGTAGAAGCCCAGGTTGCAGGGCAGACACTGCTGCTGTCCTGCTAGTGGTTGATAGAAGCCTCTGTTGCATGGCAGGCAGGCACCAGGAAATAGACACAGCCCGGGGTCAGCACAGCATGCACACAGCAGGGTGTCTGGAGAGGGATAGGGAAGCATTTTCTAAACCACGACTTTACTGTTTACATCTTAAAATGGTGGCTTCATGTCAGATGATACGGTCGTTGACTCACTGTTGTCGTACTGCGATCCCGGTGCACAAGGCTCACAAGTAGAAGTGTTGAACGCAAAGCAGCCTGGGGACGTGGTGAGGATCACGGGAGTTACAGTCAGATCAGTCACATTCTCCATGAAAGTGGTGTTCATCACTGCAGGAGCTAGTGTGGTCTGGCTCACCACCATGCCTGGAGGAGAAGGACACTGTCTTTCAATTCTGACTTCTGGTAGTGGACTGAAGTAGGAGTATTAATAAATCAAATCAATCATGACTGGTTTTTAGGAGCCTAATATGGTGCTATATCAGGCCTGGTTTAAATCCAGCTAGGACTATTTGTTACATCTTGTACCCAATCTCGCTTTTTCGACATGATTTGTGTCATCACTCTACTGACACAAAAGCCATAATGCACACAGAAAACTTGAAAAAAAAGTTATGTCTGTCATAAAAACAATCAAATTGAATTATTGATTTGACCTGAAGTTGACATGTTGCAAAGGTCATGCAAATGTCTCTTGGGCTTTTGGAGTATATCTGTTGCTGAATGTTTAATACAACAATAGAAGTAAAAACTAAGTACCTTTTTAGAAGGATTAACAGGGCTAACCTGAGACTTTTTGGGCCTATGGTTTTTTGGCATTTATTTATTTAAAAGGTCCCATGTCATGGCTAATTCTACTGATCATAATTCCATTGTTGAGGTCTACTAGAATAGATTTACATTGTTCAATGTTCCAAAATCACATTGGTTTTCTCATACAGCATCTCTGTAGTATATTCACTCTCTGTCCTACACGGCTTGTTGGAGCTCCTGCCCCCCCTCCCTATGAGCCCACTGTGCTCTGATGTTTGTTTTTGTGTTACAATGGCATTTGTTAGCAACCAAAAAATAACACCAGTAATGACAAACAGATGAGAATGCTGCGTGGGGTCTGGGTGCCGTGTTGGCGGGACGTTGCGGTTTTTAATACATCTTAGGGGATGAGATTCTAATGTCGATTGACATATGTGGTAAAATCAGGATAAACACGNAAAAATAACACCAGTAATGACAAACAGATGAGAATGCTGCGTGGGGTCTGGGTGCCGTGTTGGCGGGACGTTGCGGTGCTCGCTGCTCCGCCCTTTGAGGCTCGAGGAGCAGACAGTGTGAGCTGTATTACTGGTGTCGTTTCCTGGTTGCTGCGTGATGTCGTTGAGACAGTGAGACACCGCTCACAGCCAGGCTGTGAGTGTGTGGCAAACTGTGAGTGGAGATCCACGGAGCCGCGGCTGAGAAAGGATAATGCTGAGGTGCCGGCGAAACTCCGCGGAGTACCGCAGGTGAGAAAAGATAAGGCTGAGTGTGTGTGTGTGTGTGTGTGTGTGTGTGTGTGTGTGTGGGTGTGTTTTTGAGGAGCTCCACGGATTGGTCCATTTGGACCTGGGTGTCGTTACTATACTCAGGAAGAATAAAATGGAAAAATAAAAATCTCCAACTAGGGGTTCTGGGGCAGCATAGACAGGTCTTTTCTGTGTTAGAGTTTTACTCGCTACAGGGTGTACTTTGAGGGTTTGTGACTTTGTAGACCGTTTACATGCAGAAAAAGCTACATAACACACAAGGGGACGGGTAATAACCAGAAAAGCATGACAGGGGACCTTTAACAAATACATAATCAACCACATTATAAGTAATTCATCTGATCTCTCCTTTCCAATCTCTGCCTTCCAGGTTTCACAGGTACACTGGCTTGCTGTATTTGTGATTTAGCACACTGAAAAATCAAAATGCAGAATACCAAAGCAGATTTTCTGCTGTTGTAGTGTCAAGTAGACATTTCTGTAAAAAGGTAGTTTTGGAGAATTTGAAATTGAATGTATTCACATTTTCAGCCATTTACAGTAGTGCTCTTAGTTTTAAAGAATTAAGTATATATTAAGTATTCAATCATCTCCCTCATTCTCAGACAAGCTTTGAATATGAATCCAGCCTCTGGAACTAAATAAAAAAGATGCAGCAGGGTGGTTCTCCCGGTATAAAAGAGGTATTTAAACTGTAGCTGTGTTATCGTGATATCTTAAATACCTCCACAAAATCTTGATATTCCTTGGCTTTAACCACTGAGAAAGTGAGAGCAACACGTATAACGACTTTAGTAAAACAGAGCCCATATTGTGTTAGTAATCACATTAGCCATGTGCTTAAGTGCTTTCTTCAATATGAGCCATCCTCCTCATGAAATTCAATTATTCAGAAATGGGGTCATGTGATTTCTCTGGTTTTCTGGGTTGGCAACATTTCTCTCTCAAACTTTTAGACACAATCCTTTGTTATACTAACATAAAGTTATATTCTTAAGTATAGCAACATCATATTCAAATCTTTGTATATTATGGTATTGTCATACCACATGATACTTAGTTTTAACATAACAGTTATTAAGGGACCAAACCAACACAGTAGGCTACATTATTCTGTGGTCATTCTTCATGACGAGAACGTTTGTTGTGAAAGGATTTCCAGCTAATACACTTTTATTTTAGAAATTTGTGACATGCAGTCACATTTAGTTGTTGTGACTGCATGACATTTGTATTCAATGTATAGTTATGTTATGCTTTGATTGCTTTAAAACAAGTCTTTAATAACCTTACTTATCTAAACATAATATGCCATTTCAGTTTTGATCAGTGAGTTTACACTCTCAATAATGATTATTTAGTAGACCTACATCGCGCCCACTGTGTAGCAGCATTACAGCAGTTATGGTCGGTTAAGAGTCAGGCTCACCAATGAAACAAGCGGCGCATATGGCAGGCAGAAGTCCCCGGCCCTCCATCCTCCAGATAATATCGAGTATATCTCCAAACAATGTCAGGACGCTACAGCATCCCTGGCAAGTGTCCCGCGAGCTGCCTTTGTTTTTTAGAGAAGACGTCAGTGACGCTCGCTCGCAGTGGGATCAGTCCTCTCATCAGTGTCATATGACAAAAATACACATCATGTGATTTTGCTTTACAGGGAAAAACTGTGGAAAATGGGCCGGATTCAGAGAGATCTCCTGATGTTACACAGAGCAGCCACCAGGGGCGCCTTTTGTGTGATTAAAATCAAATGTGTGGCAAAGTACAGTATATTCTGTATAATTACAATCTATTAGTAAACCGTTACACAGACGATACATACATAAAAAAGATTTAAACAAATATGCAGTTTTGATTTCATATATTCATAATCTATTTCTGCTTTTCAATGGGAGGGATTCTGGCATGATGATGACTAATAATGAGTAACACATTTTACAGTAACTTGTTGCCAAAACAGACACCCATCAAAAACAACACACAACTTTTTAGGGAAGGGACATTTTCTTTGTAAGTCGTGAGTTGAAGGTCCACATACAGGTGGAATCTACTACGGGGAAATATTGGTGCTATTTATTGTACACCTCAAATAACATCATTTCTGGAAATAAATCATAATGGCACTCAAACATTTCCACAGCTATTTTTATTTGAATGTATCAACAAATAGACAAAAAAATCCTCCCACACGTTTCTTGCAGCAACTGGTGATCTCTCTGGTCTAAAAAAGAACATTCACAGGCCTATGCATATTTATGTCTTGAGCGTTTCTGTCTGAGAAACAACAGAAGGAGCGTCCTTCTGGATGTGACGCTCGAAGCTCAGCTCCAATTCCTCCCAGCTTGTATCAGTCAGGCTTTCCTGGCAGTAAAAGAAAGAGAGAGACAAATATCATTTACTGCTGCTGCCATGTGAAAACGCAACACTAACAAAAACAGACAACACACTGAGAGAAGCCAGTTCCTCTTTGTTCTGGATTTCACACTCACTTTGTTGTGTGTCCCTGTGTTTCTAACAGTGTGTGCTGCTGTCGGCTCAGAGGGTTTGGCCTCCTTGCTTTGAGTTTGTTTCAGTCTTTGGCGCTCTTGCTGTTTCTCTTCAAGTTTCTTCTGCAGAGCCAAAACTGTCTCATCCTGAGTCATCGCCTGCCGATAAAATGGCCTGGATTTCCTCTCCTCTTTCCTGCAACATGCCAGAACACCTCATGACTGTGTGGGGGATATTCCAGTGTTTGTGTATGTCTGCTTTACCCCTATATTTTCCTACCACAATCAAATGAGAGCCACATATTTTCCTGACCTGATGGCAGCAGCCTGTGCCAGCGCTCTCCTGTGGAGCTCGATGGTGTCCAGCTGCTCCAGCAGCAGCTGCTTCTTGTTTTGCTTCTCCTCCAGGATGTGCTCCCGTTTCTCCTGCTGCTCTGTCTGCTGCGCCTCCCCCAGCAGGGCCAGACGCTCCTTCAGCTCCACCAGGGACATCTCCCCCAGCAGCTCATGGCCTGCAGTCTGACATGGCACAATCGATTCACAAGAAGTATGTGAAACTATCTCAAATGTTATGGCATCCATGCCTTCCTTCACCCACCTCTGTGTCGTCAAAATTCCTCACTCTTATGTGAGGAAGCGATTGAATGGCACGGATTTCACGGATGATTTCAAATTTTCTGCTGAGCTCTGCTTGTGCCTCCTCCAGTGCTTGACGAAGGAGCTCCTGTCTTTGCTCTGAGACTTCTTTCACTGTGAAGTGTGAGTGAGATGTATGAGAATGAAAAGGAAACCATGGAGAAGAGGCCATTGCATCGCATGTGATATGAAATGAGGAGGCCTTACCTATACTTTGCTTGAATTTCTGTATCCTCTCTTTAGCTGCTTTTGAGTTCTTGTGTCCTTCTGCCACTTGTTGCACTAAGTCTCTTATTTCCTTTTCCTCCTGCATCCTTTTCTCCGCATATGACCGCATCAGCTGAGCTCTCTAAGAAACAATAAAAGCCACGTTATCCATGCAATTGTAAAGACCTTTCTTTAAAAGGTGTTTGCAGAGAACACATAACTGTATGACACGTTTCCAGTCTTCTTACAAACTTTAAAGCACTATGTTATCTTATGTAAATGAATGTTATTGTCATTTGTCAATGTATCTTTACCCACCTCTTCTTTATTTAGCTGAACAGCCTTCTGGTTGCGTTCCATTATGCGTGTGCGGGCCATAGCTGCCTCCTCATAACTGATGCGTCCCTCCAGGTGTCTGCGCTCAATCTTGGCCAGCTCCTCCTGAAGGTCCCTCTCACGCATCTCCTTCTGCCACTGGAGGAAAGACGAGGGCTCACGTGCCCCTTCCACCAGACGCTCCATTCTGTATATAAACACAAAGAAATGACTCAACATCTGGCAGATCCAGTCTTATTCCAAACTCTGTTTTATTCTAGCCATATATGGGCTTTTTCTGCTAAAATCCAGTCTTATTCCACCTTGTTTAGTCTAGTTAAGATTGATTGATTAAGGATAAAGATATTTTTTCCACATTTGTTATATAGAACATCTAAAGAAAATGTAAGCACAAGTATTTTCAAAATGATCATTTATCATAAACATTATAATTTGAATGTTGCTCGCATTAAAATAGTTTTGCCTTCTATTCCAGTACTGTCTTATGCAGGATAGAATAGAATATATCTTTATTGTCATGATACAAAGTACAACATTTCTTTAGCCACTCTCACTGCAGTAAAAATTAAACTCAAATAAATAAATAAGAGTGGTAAAAGCAGAGGTAGTAGCGATGACGGTGCAATGAGATAAAATTAAATGTCAATGTGCATATTTAAATTTACAGTCTAAAAACGTTAAATGTACAGAACTGTATAAATGTAGTAAATTCATAAAGGGTTATAGTAATCAAAGGATGCAAGTAAAACAGCCATAAATATTTCTAAATGGTAATGTTTGCAGTCTTTGAGGGGCGGAGGTGTGTTTATGAATGTTCACAGTTGTTGGATACTGATCAGGTTAGAATACGTAATGCCACAAACAAAGGTCAAGCAGTGGCAGTTGAAAGTAGCGCTGTACCTTTGCAGCTCCTCCTCCACCTGACGGTCGTACAGCGCCCCCTGCCTCAGGATGGCTGCACTGTTGAGCTTGATTGGCCAGCTGTTAGTCTAACAGAGGCAGAATTAGGATGTCTATATTAGTTGATATCCTTCACTATTAAACTGAAGACTTATCCACTGAAGTAAGTTATTACATTTCACCTTATTGCTGGAGGGATTTCCAGAGGAATGAAATGAATTGAATTTGAGTTTTGAATCCAAGCTCTCCTTAATCTGAGACATCGCTCTCTGCAATACAAATGATGGTTTGTCAGAAATGTGAATTTTGGACTTTTCTCAGTGTTTTATCTTTTTAAGTTAGCTTGGGAATTAATCAAAAAAATATTACTAAAGCACAGTCAATAGCCCCTACCTTGGTGTGTTCAGACTTCTGGGGATTAACACACCTGAACTGTTTCATATTTGCCTCATAGAGCAGTTCCTTTGGTAAAAAAAAAATAGAGGTCATTAGAAAGTCATATAACAAAGCTACCATAAATTATGATAATAATATGAGAATAATAGTATCCATTAATAGTGTTTTGATGTGCTGGAATGTAATAGTTATTTGTGTTTTGCTTAACGGTTGCATGTGATTTACATTACGTCTTTTTTTACACAGTTTCCTCCCATCTGGTGATAATAGTAAAAGCAAATATTTTACCTCAGTCTTTTGAAGGTTCTTTTGTTTGATCTCCTTGATCATCTGCATCTCCTTTGGAGCCTTGTATGTGCTATCTGGCACCTAAACAAACAGATTCTATGAGCCAATGATAAAGTCTTGTCTCTATGGTCTATAAAAGACAGCACAGAAACTAACTGTGGGACAATGTTTGGACATATATTATTGTAAATGATACTGACTGGTTTAGATTTTTCCTGCAGAGGAATGACCTCAGGCACAGGCAGAGGTCGAGGTTTAGGTTTCGTGAGAGAGAACTCCTGAGGCTCAGTTGTTTTGATGTGAGCTTTCTTGACCTGAGTCCCATGAGATATTTTGACGGCAAGCTGGTCCAGGAGAATATCCATCTCAGGGCGCCATCTAAAGGACAAATATTCTTTGATCCTTGACTTTAAAAAAAACATTGATTTCCTTCAAAATATTTTCCTTCTCTTCTCACCTTAGCAGAGGGCCAACCCAGAGTTTCTCCACATAGGCAGCCTCGTAGATATTATTCCACTCGTCTTGTATCCACGTAGTGAGGTTTGTGAAAAAGAAAGTCAGGAACTATAGCCAAACACAAGACACACACTGTCACACAGGGCACAGTATTATGGTAATTTCCCTATGAAACAACAGTGATAAGACTTTCTTACTGTGTGCATCTTCTTGATGTCCAGAGATTTAATAATGTTACTGAAGCGCTGAAGTCCAAGGTCATCAAGAGAAAAGGTGGCGAGGTAACAGATGACTGAAGAACACAATAGTATTATAAACATGTAAATGGAAATCTTGTTTTTTTTAAAGTCCAATTTTGATAAGAATGTAGGGGTTTGTTTGGTTCATTAACTTACTGACAAGCTGGCTGCGATCACCTCTAGATAAGCATCTTCCATTCTGGCCATAGAAGACATTGACAACTACGTCCAGTAACTTTGTTTGTTCAATGCATCCAGAAACTACATCAAGTATGAACTTCTGATGCAGATCATCCATGTTCTGTAACAAAAAACAACAACCAGCCTCAGGGAACCAGTGATATGACTATTTGATTTTAAAGACATATTGCTTTTACTGCACTACTACTCTAGTACTTTAATAATAATAATGATACATTTTATTTCTATAGCGCTTTTCTTGAACCCAAAGACGCTTTACATTTGGGAGGGAGGGTAGACAAACTTTAGACTTTAATAACCTGCATTACTGATAAAGTTGCTACAAATTATAATCAACTACTAAATGACGAAGTATGCCCTAGAGATAACTCTTACCAACAAAAAAAGACTGATACAATGTGCTCTCATTTACAAGATGCAACATAAAATGAATCCAATAATTCATTATTCTAAACTGAGGTGGGAGAGCTA